AAGCGCTGCGTGACGCAATAAAGAGCTGGGCCTTGCAACCTCCAGCTGCCCTCACCTCCATTAACCCGGACGCACATGTACCGGTGGACATGCCGCCTGTGTTGTCCAACGGCGCTGATGCTCCTCCGTCAGGCCCCTCCTCCACCACCGCTGTCGCTGCCTTTAAGCTAGCAGCCGCCATGTACCAGACATGGGTCTCATCCCCAGCGGAATCCGCAGCGCCGCCACCCACGTCCAGCACCGACGACGACGTTACACTTAATTCTGCAGCTGACACCTCCACGGCACCCTCCTTCCCCGGCGCTGCTGCTACTGCTGCTGTTGCTGCTCCTCAGACTTCGGGTGAGGAGGTGTTAGCCAGCGTGGAGGGCTTCATAGTACGGCAGCGTCAGTCAGCGGCGCGGTCGCTGGATCCGGAGCAGGAGCCGCAGCTGCATGCTGAGGTGCGACGACAGAGGCGGCGGCGACGGGGCCGGAGGCACCTGGCTGCTGAGGTACCTGCAGACACTGTGGCGGTGATGACAGACGTGCAGGATGCCATGCGGGCGGCAGCGGCGGTGCTAGGCCTGGTGCAGCTGGATGTGGTTGGGCTGCAGCGGCAGCCGGTGTGTGGCAACGGCGTGTGTGAGGTGGGCGAGCAGCAGTCAGCAGCGGCGGCGGCGGTTGCGGCAGTTGCTGCGGCGCATGGGGGGACAAGGAACCAGCAGCAGCAGGAGTGGTGGTGGTGGCGGCTGCAAGGACAAGCGGGTGAAGGAGATGGAGTCGGGGTGGTTGGGGCAACGTGCCCGCAGGATTGCCCCCTTGCATTGAGGAGCTGTCCGGCGGGCAGCCGTACAGGAGGGCTTGGAGGCAGCGGCAGCAGCGGCGGCAGTGAGAGTGGAAGTCAAGTTGGAGATGGAGAAGATGCTGACATGCAGATGTGCAGCGGCAGGGGCGTGTGCCTTATCGTGTCCGGCGCATGCGCGTGCTTCAAAGGGTAAGTGGAAATGACGCTTGAGTCGGGGGGAGTGTCGTCGGTGGGGTATGTTAGAACCTTCCTTTGGAGCATGCATAGCAGATTACCCTTCATGCACTCCAGCACCCAACGCAGGGGGGTAAAGCCGTGTGACTTTGCATGCTATGGCTTGCGCGCAACTTGACGGATGCGATTCTACTTCAAAACCGTCCTTCCGCGTCTTGTCCGCCGCCTCCCACAGGTACTCGGGTGACGCTTGTGACGCATGTGCACCCGGCTACTGGCGCGCCAAGTACGGCACCGCGGCTGGCTTGTGTGTGCGGCAGTACATCCGCGGCCGTACAATCCTCGAGTGGGACAAGCTGGGCGACGGCAGTCGGCGGCGGCAGGGGCTGCTGGGAAGCCGCTTGGGCCTCGCGTTTGCCATTGTGAGTATGGTGGTCACATACCGGATACCGCGGGTGTCATGCTCCTCACGCCGAGAGCGAGAGAGAGAGAGTTAGGTAGCAACCATGCTTTACGCCGCTTTGCCCACCGTGCACACCCACTGCATCCTCCCATGGACTCCCTATAACCCGCCGCCATTCAGCATCGTTCCTCATTTCCCCGCATGCAGGTGGGGAGCCTAGTGTTAGCCGCCCTGGCCCTGCTCTCCGCGCGCAAGTTTGCGACCCGCTTCCCCACCATCACCGCTCTCATCAAGGGCGCAGCGCAGCTGGCTGCATCCAAGCAAGACAAGCAGGCCGCCGCCGCCGCTGCCGCCGCCGCTCCAGATGGCAATCCCACCGCCGCTGTCCCGCCCAGGCGCAGTCCCCGCAGAGCGCGCATCAAAGTCGGCAAGGGAGTTCGCGCTGGCAAGCGCTACAGTGTGGAGGCTTCACCGTCGCCATCATCAGAGCTCCGCAGCAGCAGCAACAGTGGCGACGGCGGCGGTCGCGGCAGCAGGCGGAGCCCGGGGCCCTCCCCAGCCGGCGCCCCCACGCCGCCGCGCAGGCAGCAGCGCGAGCAGCAGCCTAGTGCAGGTCTGCCGGCAGCAGCGGGAGCAGCAGCGGGATCAGTAACGGCAGGACAGGTTCACGAGGCAGTTTCGCCAGCCCGCCGTGCTCTGATCCGCGTGTTCGCAACCGGTGAAGAAGAGGAGGCGGAGCTGCAGGCTGAGGCGAGGGTGAGCAGCCCACCCCAGCGCAGTCGCGGCTCCTCCTCAAACCCCCTTTCCAGCCCTGTCCTCCTCCGCAGCCCCTTGCTCCGCAGCCTGCTGGGAAGCCCTGCACCAGGCTCGCACCCCAGCTCCAGCCCTGCGCCAAACACCGCCGGGTCAGGTTCCGGCCCCAGCACTGGCGTCCCGCGGGCAAATCGCATGGGCCCCCAGTCGCCTGAGCCTGGGTCTGGGGCGCTGTCCACACCGCCCACGCAGGCACGTCAAGCCTGGACTTCTGCTGGCAGCCCGGCAAGGGACGCAGGTTGCGCAGTGGGATCAACCCCCGCGGCAGTGGCGCGATCGCTCGGTGAGCAGCCTGCGGGAGTGCTGCGGCAGGGGCGGCTGTCAGGGCTGTCACCCGTGCCCTTCGTCATGCCTGCTCCCGAGGACGAGGTCCTGGAATCGTCGCCGGGGCAGGCCGCTGCGGAGGGGCATCCAGACGGGGCCGGTCTGGAACGGTGTGATCAGCATGCGGTGCAGCAATTGCGGCATCAACAGGCGTTGGAAAACAGTCATCACGGTCATCAGCATCAAGCATTGCATGGCCAGCAGTCATCCTTACAGCAACCAGCGGTCCCGAACCCCGAGGTCAGCCCAGACGTGGCCCAGGCCTGGCAAGCCGGGTGGCCTAGCTCCCTCAGAAGTCTCAGGCTCACTCCCAGCCGCTTCGGACCCTCGCCTGCGGGTGGTGGTGCCAGGCTGAGTCACGACCGGAGCGTCGTCCTCGACGACGTACGGCAATTGTACGGCGGAAGGCCGCCGCTGTGGGACGAGACGGCGGCGGCGCCGGCGGTGCTAACGGGCTCTCCCAGAGCCGATGTCGCAGCAAGTAGTGGCGGTGGCGGAGGCCATGACGGCACCCAGGAGCCTCACACTGCTGGATCCCCTTCTTGGCTGCGCCGCAATGCAGCTGCTGCGTTGCAGCACGAGTCGCATGTTCTAGTGCCCGGAGCGGTTGCCTCGCCACGTGTAGCGACGCTTCGTGTCCTTCGATCCGGCGGCGGAAGCGGCTCGGCGGCGGACGATTCGCCGTTTGTGGTGAAGAGTCCCCGACACGCGCCGCAACTGCAGGTCCGGACGCCGCAGACGCCACGGCGGCCTTGATTTATGCTTTGTTGACCCGTGGGTCAAACCACCTGGCAGTGGCAACGAGGCATCTTGTGGGTGGTCAAGTGCCCATGTGGATTACCGGTATGGGAAAAGGACAATGCAGTCATTGAAGCAGTGCAGAGTAGTAGCAACAGGCATTTGGTGAACTGGCAGGACTACGTGTATGTGGGTCTCTTCACAACACCCCAGCGGAGCAACGTAGGATGTTGGCTTGCTGGGCATCATGCGTGACCAACACAGCAGAGATGGAACCAAACGCTTATTGCCGCAGGGATTGTACAGGCATGAAGTCTAGTTACGGATTTTCATAGATAGATTGTATTTCTTTAACAGTTAGACTAACGTACGGGAGGGTGCATGCATGCATGCATGATGCAGATGAGATGAGAGCGTCCTTTATTGTACGTTGCAGGTCCCGTGAACCACTACCAGTGCATTTCGGGCTACCCTTTAAGTGTACACCTTTTCTATATCTTATATTATGTCTTTATGCTGTGTGCAGTGGCTGTGTACAAGATGCCGCAAATTCGTTGGCTACCTGACGTGGGCTCATGAGTATCCGGTGAACGGAATGTAGCTGCTGCTGTGGTTTATAGGGTTTACGTGAGTCCGGCGCCTAATGATGGGGTTCTATGGGACTTCCGAGGCAGCATGGACGTGCAGCAGACCCTGACTCATGCTGCTGGGAAGGTGATATGCTGGAGTGCTGGGAAGGCAGCTGTAGCGTATCGTACTAGTGTTGTTGTGGGCAGTGGCACCATTGACCGGCGCAATTGGCTTCCCGTGTGGTCATGCAAAGGTCTATGACCCGTGGGTCCCTTCAGGGAGGCGGGGTTCCAGAGAGCCACTAAAGCCCATGTGGGCTGAGGCGATGCGTTCCCCCGGGTAGGGCTGGCGAAGCCGTACTCGTTTTGCCGTACAGCTTACCGTCAGGTCGCTGTAACAGTCCACCACCACCTTATCCACCTCTCACTTGCCGTACACGAAGTCAGCTGCATGTGGAATTGGCAACCGGCTCTGGTCTTAAGTGGTTTCTTTGAAGGTTATCCCCACTGCCACTTCCCCATTCCCATCCCGTAGCGATTTAACACCGTCGGGGAGCCACTAACCGGTACCTGGCTCATGCCGCATGAAATCCGACCCCTTCTCCATGCCCTTCTCCTCGGCATGGGTCCCATGCTGTGTCAAATCCTACGTTCAGCAATGTTCTGGACGAGGTTACCCGGGCGCCATCAGCGGCCGACCACACCTTCGCAGAACCCATTTAAGAAAGTCCCTCCAGCATGCATCATAAGCGGTAAGTTCCTTCTGGCTGAGGCCCTAATTGTACTGCCCTGCTATGCTTATGGCAGCATAAATGGAGGCTCTCAGTTACAAGGAGCAGGCTAAGCCCCTTACACTGCAAGATGTTAAGGCGATCCTGTCTAGCCTGCTTTGCGCTTCAGTACTAAGGATGGTTCATCGGGTGAGCATGTTCGTTACGTATTCCCTTATGCCAGGGTGTGGCGCTGAACCCAACCTCACACTAACGCGGACAAGGCCAACCGCAATGGACACATATGAACGGCACAGAGCTCAGGCCCTTCCAAAACGTGTGCTCAGAAAGGCCGTGCACAATGGGAATTCAGGCGACAAGCTAAGGCCCGCAGGCCACGCAGCATCGCGGGAAAAGCCTGCTGCCGTACTATCCGACTTGCGCTTTATCCAACGAACCCATGGCTTTTGGTTGAAAGATAGCCGTAACTGCAAGATTAACCTAAACACATTTATACGTTTTTACCTGAATGCGCCGCCGTTCTTAGGCATAGCCCGCAACGGCGTATGCTCGCCCACGCGTTTGCTTGGAATCGATGCACTTCACGACCTCAAGTCCACTTAGCGAATGCAAATTGCTTACGCAACAACACGTCTTGACGCAGCGCTCTGACTACGCTGAGGCTGAACTTACCTTCTCCTTCACTGATGCGCGACGCGGGGGCCGAAATGGTTACCGAGCGCCGGTTCTGGCATCACTTTCGCTTTCGAGGACAAGAGGTCAACATGGACCTCGTAACATACTGGCGTCGTTAACTGGCATCACGTTGCTATTCCAGGGCCGGTAGGGCTGAGTCATTTGGGGCAATATGTTGCGCTTTGGCATTGTCACGGTCCTGTACACTATGCTAGTTGCTTGTGTCCATATTTAGGGTCAGGGGTTCTAGCGCTACATCACCATGTGAAACACCCGTTGACCAGGCAACGTCACTGCCACTGAATCTGGACAGGGATGCTGGACTTCGGAAAACGTTCGACGCCATTGATGTGGACGGCAAGGTGTGACAGCTTTCTGGGCTTGCGCCCTTGGTGCCTTGCGTAATCGACCATTGCCCCCAGCTTCTCGCTCGTCCGTAGTTGTCATGTCAGTCCGGCATCTGCGGGGCTCGCTGCCCCACAGCGCCATTAGCGCATTGCCTTCCATGATATGCCACTTTAGGGTTCCGCTGGGGTCCGGGTCCGCGGGCCCTCAACCTCGGCATGCTTCCATGTCTGCGGTCGTGCCTCGTCAAGACACGGTGCTTACTTTACTCAGCTCATACAACACAACTAGTCTCATTCTACGACCAGTTGTTTAAACGAAACCATCCCTGCAACCCATCCGGCAGGGTCACATCACGGAGAAGGACCTTGAGGCATTCGCCAACCGCAACGGCCTTCCCAGCAGCTATGCGGCGCACTTTGCGAATGCCGTACGTGCTAATGCCGTACGACCTGGTACGGCAACCGCAATCGGTGCCACCGCCGACTCTAACCGCCGAGACAGCACAGTCTCAGCAAGGACCGAGGTGCAACAGTGTGTTGCTAGCAGCAGCAGTAGCGCTGCCGTGCCCTCCTCACAAGAGCAGCAGCGGCAACAGCACACAATGCCACGCCCTGACAGCGACAGCAGCTGCGGCAGTAGCAGCGAGCTCGTTCACCAGCAGCAGCGGAAGCGGGGACGTGCTGTCGCAGAGGATGCGGAGGAGTTGACGTACGGCATGTTCCGGCAATTTGTACGGAGCCGGGAGGAGGCGCTGCGGCGGGCCTTCAACCTGTTTGACCAGGGTAGGTACCGTAGGTGGGTGCATGGTTCGGCTGCTAACTGGCACATCAGTTGGGGACATAATCCTTACGAACGTATCCTTGGGCGGGTGGGTGGACGCGGGGGTGTTTTTCTCCGTACCCACCTACCCTTGCCCTCTGCGTCTATCCTGAACTCAACCCTCCCCATTCAACCCACGTAACCCCCCCTCTCTAACGCCCTCCCACCCGCCTGCAGACGGCGACGGTCGCATCTCCGTGGCCGACCTGGATGCCTCGCTGTCCCGAGTGGCGGTGGGCTGCCCGCAGACCAGGTGCGTGCTGCGGTGCAGCGGGGGCAGCAGTGGAAGCGGGAGCAGCAGCACCAGCAGCAGCGGAGGCAGCGGCAGCAGCGAGGACAGCGGCAGCAGGGCCAGCGGCAGTGGCGGTGGAGGTGGTGGTGTGGGCGGCAGCTGTCGCTCTGTGGCGGCGCGGCACCTGCATGCCAAAGCGGCGACGGAGCAGGGGTGAGGCGGCGGAGAGGGTACCGGTGTGGGTATGTCTGCGGGTTTACGTGGGCGAGGAGAGAGCTGTGCATCTGTCAATGAAACCTTGCCTTTCGCTTCCTCTCTCCTTTCTCTCCGTGTTCACCGTGTCCTTCCCTCCTACCTTTCTCCTCCTCCTCCGCAGCTCCCTGGGCTTCCCCGAGTTCCGCGACTTCTTCCTTCTGCTGCCGCAGCAGGACATGCTGGTGGAGTACTGGGTGGCGGCGGAGGGGGCAGCGGCAGCGGGGACAGGGGCAGCAGCAGGCAGCGCGCTGGGGCTCAGCGACAAGCAGCTGAGGGGCCGAGCGGCTGGAGGGAGAGTGGGAGGAGGAGCAGCAGGCAGGCGCAGAGGAGGTGGAGGTGGATCAGGAGGGGCGGCAATGGTGGCAGCAGCCGGGGTGGCAGCAGCGGCGGCTACTGGGCGAGGCGCGGCGGCTGCGGTGGCCTCTGCGACTGCGGAGGCGGCAAAGGGCTCCCCCTGGGGTCATCTGCTGGCGGGTGCGGTGGCGGGAGCCGCCTCGCGCACCGCCACTGCGCCGCTGGAGACGTTGAGGCTTGCGGCCATGGCAGGACAGCTGCAGAGCAGGAGCCTGGTGCAGGTGGGTTGGCGAGGAGGGGAGGAGGAGGATGAGAGGAAGGGTTGCTGCCTCCTGTGCCGGTAAACACCCACGCGACTGGATCGCTACGGCACTACGCCTCCTTCACTCCCATGATTGGCTTCCTGTACTTGCCTTGCTCGCTCCCGCAACCCTACCTTCTCAGCCGCCCCTCTCCCGCGCTCTCTCCGCCCCTCCCCCGCACCCTCTCCGCCCCTCCCCCCACTCCCCCCAGGCCGCCCAGGACATCCTGTCCTCCCAGGGCTGGCCCGGCCTCTACCGCGGCAACTTCCTCAACGTGCTCAAGTCCGCGCCGCAGAAGGCACTCGACTTCTTCGCCTTCGACGCCTTCAAGCGCCTCATCGGGGAGGAGTCCACCGCGCAGCTCTTCCTGGCGGCGGGTGAGGGGCTGGGGGTTAGGTGGCTGTGGCTTGTGCCAGCACAGCTGTGGCTTGTGCCCCCTTCATACCAACCATCCCCCCTCCCGGGCTGCAGTGCCCGCTTACCTTGCCTCACCGACTCCTGGATGTCACTTCTCTCTCTCTTATGACCCCTATGTCCCTCTTGGAAGCCCCCGCTTCCCGCAATCACACCTCCCAGAGCGCCTAAGGGCATAGGAATGCAGCTGCCCACGCTTACCTTCGATACCTTCAACTTCCCTCCCCCGCACACCTCCCGCCCTCCTCCCTCCCTCTCCCCCAGGTCTTGCGGGCTGCACCAGCTGGGTGGTGCTGTACCCGCTGGAGGTGGTGCGCTCGCGCGTCACTGTGGCCGCCTCCTCCCTAGCAGCGCGCAGCAGCGCTGCAGCAGCAGCAGCCGCGGGGGCAGCTGTGGTTACATCCCAATGCGCCCTTCCCGGAGCCGCAGCTGCAGCTGCTGCTGCTGCTTCTACTTCAGCTGCAACAGCAAGGGCGCCGGGGCTACTTCAGATGTTGACGACCATTGTACGGCAAGAGGGCCCTATGTCTCTTTACCGCGGCTTGGGAGCCTCTGTCGCCGCTATCTTCCCCGAAGCAGCCATTACGTATGGATTGCACGACGCGTTGAAAAAGTCGTACACTCGGATTACACGCACTGAGCCGGGAGTCGTACCGTCCCTGGCTTTCGGCGTGTTTTCGGCTTTCATGGGCCAGCTCGTTTCCTTTCCGTTGGAAACCGTTTCCCGACGGTTGCAAGTGGCGGCGGTGCCGGCCGCGGGTGCTGCAGGTACGGCAGCAGCAGCGAGTCTGGGAGGTTTGGGAGGCGTGGCGACGGTGGTGCGGGGGTTGCTGGCGGAGGGCGGTCCGGCGGCGTTCTACCGGGGTATCGGTGCTGCCACGCTGCGACTTATCCCCATGGCATGCGTGTCGTTCGGCACGTATGAGGCAGTGCGTGCGCTGCTTGTTGCTTGGGAGCAGCAGCGGGAGGAGCGGCAGGCCAGGGAGAAGCTGCATGCCAGGTGAGGGGGAGGTGCGAGCAACATGGGTATCTTGGCTAGGAATGGTCGGTTGCAAAGAGCAAAGGCGGCACGCGCACTTGCGTTGATGTCGGTTGGCTTGCATGCGAGTCCCAACGCGTGGGGTTCCTCCTGCACCCGCTATCCTCGTCATCCCGTCATCCCAGTCCCATGCAACACCTTGACCCCATGACCGCAACCTCCCATGTTGCCCCTCCCCCCCCGGCCGCTGCAGGTGTATGCCGCTGGTGCTGCACGGGCCCCGCGGGGACCCCGAGGTGGTGGGCCGTGTGTGCACCCCGCCGGGGGCTGCCGTACCCGCCCTCTGCAGCACCACTGCGTTGTACGGCAGTAGTAGCAGCAGCTGTAGCAGCGTCAGCAGCAGTGTTGACAGCAGCAGCAACAGTGGTAGCAAAGCCAGTAGCAACAGCAGCAGCAGCTGTGCCGGCGGTGGCTTAACGAGTACGTGCATGGCAGCTAGTGCGTCGGGGCCGAGGGTGGGTTACACCGGTACTAGGGCGGCTGCGCTGGAGGTGCCGCTCGGTGCGGGACTTGAGTTGCAGGTGCTGTTGGCGGGGGAGGAGTCGGGCGCCGGGGAGGGGTGCTTGGGGGCGGATGGAGGGGAGCGGGCTGCTGCGGCTGCGGGAGGGATGGAGAGCAGCAGTAGTAGCAGCAGCGGCGCAAGGTGTTGTGTGGTGGCTTGCTTGGGGTGCGGGGTATCTGCGTCTGGTTGACTGCTGGATGCAGGAGGAAGGGGAGGAGGGTGGCAGAATGCAGCTAGGCGAAGGTCGCGGTGTCAGGCGGGATGATGCCGGGAAACGTGGATGGCCGTGCTCGCTGATCCAGAACTCCAATCTGTTGGAACTTAACAAGCACTTAAACGCAACCCCAGCTGTTGTTTCAGAGGCATGACAACCGTTCATGCTGAGCGCATTGCGTGGTACCGAGTGCTCCCGCGCGTTGATATGGTAATAGTTAAGGGAGGCTGGTCCTGTGGCTAGTGGCTATGTTTTTATAGTATGCGTCGGAGTATGCTAGTGGATGAGTGCGGTCCATATCTTGTGCGGATATGGCGGCCGTTAGGAGTGGGGGTGCGATCCTTCAGGGGCCCTTCTTTACCTCGTGCAACCCAAGCGGCCGCGGACGTTTACGTCTTGTAGCCCAGAGAGAGAAGAGCATGTCCCTATATGTGTGACTTATTTCACCCTTCTTTGTTTGCAGTGCTGGCCCTGTTGGCTCGCTCCGGATGATTGTGACATCGAGGCGGATGTCGTGTCCCGCATGCCTATCGTACAAAGTTGTTTGTACGGCATGCATGCAAGCTCCCAACACAGCCTTGTGCACCTTTTGGGGGGTTTGGATGGGGGTTTGGATAGAAGGACTGGCTCTAGAGCTGTTGGAAGGGGCCTGGTATTTGTGAAGAGGGGTTATCGGTGACTAGGGCCGTGGTCTCGGAGGTTGTTGGTTGCGGTTATAACTTACAATGTTAAAGTGTGCGGATTGCGCACGGCACGGCCGCAGTTGCAGTTGAGGAACTTGACACGACTCTTGAGAGCAGAGAAGAGGATGATGGCGAACGAATCTATGTATGGGACTTGGTGTTGTGGTGCGATTTGGGTTTGCGGTGAACGCAGAAGCAGTTAGGAGGCTAACCATCTCGTAATGCCGTGCAGGAGGGCGTGCTTAGCAGTACATTTCCTGACACGGCGCTTTGCAACACGTGCTGTTGAATTGAAGGCTGCTAGCGTGACAGATGGATGGCATTCTGAGGTTGCAGCGTTTTTGTTTGGGGCATTAGGGTCCTATTTTCCTATATGAAGGCCTGGTTGCATCTGACTTCAGATGCCATGTCATGATCACCAGTACGGCAGGTATTTGGCAGTACTACCTGCCGCCAGCGCCGGTAGGATTACTGGCGCGTCGTGGCAGGTCATGGAGGGATGTTTGGATTTATGGTGGTGTGAAGGAGCAGTTAGGGGCATTCAGGTGCCTGTCGTGTTGTGCAGATTCTTTACAGTACGGCAGCGGCGGACTATTATTGTAGCAGGGAAAGGCGAGGACCGAGGAGGTGCATGTTAGTAGTGCAGGGGCTTGGGTCTACGGGACCGCTACACATGCCACCCCTTGTGCTCAGTTCGTGCAATAAATTAAAGGCGCAAGCGGGTTGAAATGCATGCACGGTACAGCGTTTGGCTTATGCAATGAAGGGGGGCGTGGCGCGTGTGTGTGTGCTGTTGCGTTGTCATTGCATAGCTCTGATGGTGGGTAAAAATAAGGTCGTAACGGTTATGGTGGGCACAGTCGTAATACGGCGGGGGATGTGGGGATCCTCTTGCTAACGTAGGCGGCTCCGGTGTTATTGGTTTGGGGTGGCGGCGCACCGTACTAGTGCCGGTAAGTTTCGCCTATCATGATGAGAACGGTCGTCTGGGCCATCCCGGTTTTCCCATGTTGTATTATGAAAGCGGGTGCTATGCCATGCAGGACGCTGCAAAGCAGTCCTGCCTTGCAAGTTGTTGTAAATGGGTTGTTGCTGGGCATCACAACCAACTCTCCACACTACGGCTACCGAAACAGGCAATTGCAATTCGTATGGTAGGACCCTAAGGAACTGCACTCTTACACGGTTTGTTGTCGTGACTGCAGTGGCAAGGGGCTTTACCTCACTTGGTGGAAGACTGCTAAAATCTGTCCGAATTCATCCATTACGCTGCACGTGTATTCAAAGTAGAGGTTCACGGATGACGGAGTCTGCTACACCACCTTATCGGAGTCAGGTTTGGGGCGTGCCTCGTCGCGAAACCGTTCGCTTGCCTATCCTCATTCTTAGCACTCCCTTGCACAGAGTTTTACCACCTGGCCTGTTTAGCTATTCGCCACCTTCTACGTACGCTTAATGTTAGCCTTTCCTCGTAGGACCCAGATTTCTACATTCGAGATGTTTGGAAGGCGCAACTCTTCCCAACCAAGCCACTTTGCACACGCATCGATATGCGCGTACTCCTTATACGCTGTACTCCAAGTCGATTATTCAAGATAAGAACAACGACAGTCGTGGTTCGAGCAGTACGCAAACCGATAGATGGCGTGAAGAAGGGCCTTCTCACTATGGTTATCACGCCTACATGAGTACAGGTAACAATGCGAAGAAAGCCCGGCAAGGAACTGGCACGCTTTTATTCCAACGAAGAGTGAGGTAATTGGGTATGGTCCAATTTGGCAAGTTGCATGCGTGCAGTGTATATCATTCGATGAATTGCGTCTCCTCACTACCGAAGTACGCTGAAAGGAGAGCCCAGAGGAGGCCCAAAACGCCCAATCGTATTCGTACACTTCCGCTGGTCAGACTGGCACTTCGTATTGCCGTTGACACCGAGTTAGCTGCACCTACGCGCAGTATTAATATTGTACCCCAAGCTGCTGTGTTTATTCAGAGCACCGCGGTCACTGTTATACATTAGGGGCTTGGCACCTACTTGGCAGCGTGCGCCTACCTTCTTACCTCCCTGGAACAGTTGCGTATTGCAATTAATCTATTAATACTGGAAGTTAGGTATTTATACACCGAGGCTTTATCCTTGCTGCCCTATAAGAGCACGCTACGACTCGAGTAGTCGAAGTCGTCAAGATGGGTCCCTCCGTTCCTTCTCGCCTTTGGTCGATGGCCATCCTTGCGCTGGTCTTTTTGCTATCTGTTTCAGGTGAGATTCCCTCGCACATAGCGCACCGTTGCTTGCGCATAAAGCCCATGCGCCGGAAAGCTCCTAACACGGAAATCGCACCCAAAGCACACAATTCCGTTTTTGGGCGGAGCCCCCGCCGCGAAGCGGCTTTGCCCCTGTCCGTGTGTCCGTGTGTCCGTCCGTGTGTCCGTAACGGCAAAACATACAAACTAGACAAAACTATTTATTGCACCTAATAGATATTTGTTATCTGTATTCAGTAAAAATAACTGGAAGCCAAACAAACTTAATTTCGCAACAAACGATTTATTGACCAGCCATTCAAAAGGACCACCGCGGCAACACCGATTAGCGCTCCTCTATGGTTTGTCCTGGTACTGTAAACAGTATTTAATGAATTGGAAACAGCGGCGTGTCGCCAAAGGGCTACCTGTGAAAGTCGGCGAGAGCATGCTTGCGTGCATCGACTGTGCTACGCTGAGCCCACCTCCTTTGAGACGATGTTGCCGGCCTTTGTTATTCGTTTCTGCGCCATAATGCCTATGAACTGTAACGCAAACAGGTACCTCGCCTAGAAGATAACAGCGATGTTCCGGTGCAATTGCCGAAGTCCTTAGGAGCACGATGCCGACATTGCCGAGCCTGACCTCCTCATCATGTTAGTAATGTAGGCGAAACCTAAACGACCTGCGGGACCCTGAAAGCACTCCCATGTGGCAGATACGCCGTCGATTTGGGTTCTGTAGCCTAATGCGTGGGTGTTATCAAGCATGATAAGACGTTACTGAGTACTCGATTGAACAGGTGTAACCTAACAATGAGTGCAATGAGTGAGGAGACTACGTACGCCATGGCGGCCGGCCTCGGCTGGACAAGGGGCTCTAAGCTCGTCTAGCCATGCAACGAACACTCTAACTACAGTAAACAAGGGGGTTAAGCGTCCGTATAACAAGGTGTGTTAAGTCAACTGGTGCCGTGGAGTCACAGGAGCGCATGCCGTGCCATTCCAGGTCTATAAGCAAGGCCCTGAGTCGTTCGGACTCCCCTGTACTAATCGCATTCATTCCAGTGGTAATAATACGTTCCTGTACTCAATAGGAGGGGCTCCGCCCTTTTCCAGCTTTGAGGAAGCTGAACCCCCTTGTCATCAATTGTCGTCTTGTTACGTTTAGTAGCGCGTACCATGGATCTGTCCAACTCCCGTGCGAACTCTACCCGCATGCCGACCACAGGGGCCTTGGCGGGCGGTCCAGGGGGCCAAATGGGCGGTCCAGGCAAGGGCGGCCCCAAGGGTGGCGTCGTAGCCCGGCCCCTCATGCCGTCGAAGCCGCCCACCCATCCCCTGATGCCCCCGCGGCCCCCTACCCACCCGGCGCGGCCCCCGATGCCCCCGTTCAACGGCAGCCGCCCCGACTGCAACGGCACCTTCCCTTGCGGCCACCACGATTTCGATGGCTTCGACCGCACTGACTCCTTCAACCACACCCGCCCCGAGTTCAACGGCACCCACCCTCTTCCTCCCTTCAACGGCACCCGCCCTGCCTGCAACGAGACTGGCGCCCTTCCCAAGCCGCAAGGTCACGGCCCTCATCGCCGCGTCCTGCGTGGCTCGCACCACAAGAAGAACGGCACCGCTGTGGCTAAGCCACCGAAGCCTGCCGCCAGCCCCAAGCCTGCCGCCAGCCCCAAGCCTGCCGCCAGCCCCAAGCCTGCCGCCAGCCCCAAGCCTGCCGCCAGCCCCAAGCCTGCCGCCAGCCCCAAGCCTGCCGCCAGCCCCAAGCCCGTCGAGAGCGCCAAGCCCCCGAAGGCCGCGAAGGGCAAGGGCAAGAAGCACCCGCCTCCCAGCGCTCGCTGAGTTGTTTCCTGTCTACTGTCAGTTGATCTTTGATTTGAATCTGCTGTGAGCAGCGCGTTGTGATGTGTAGCAGGCGTCCATGGGTTCATGATTGCACGTGGTGACTAATTTGTGAGCAGGATGATGCATCCTGTGATTTAGCTGTGCATTGTGTGCGAGCGTGTTAATACTAAGCAGGCCTGCGCGCGATGCAAATTTAATCCAGATAAATATTGCGGACGCCCTGAGCCAGCTGTCCTAAACAATTGTCATCAACTTATCGTGCGTGCTGTGTATGGATGGGGCATGTGATTTACAGTTGCGGGTGCGTTTCCTCAATGGTAAAATGTTGCCTGTTTAATTGGTAGCGACTGAGCCGTAGCCTTGGCGATGCTGTCTAAAGATGCCGTACAATACCGTACAGGTTTTTGGCGGCGTCAGAACTTAAGACTGATGGGCGCTGTTGTAACTGTCATCAATAATATTGCCGGTAGTGTGTGCGTTGCCAGGATGTGTTTTCCTTGTCAGCAAAGTTAATAGGTAGCACCCATTGACGAAAGCACGACATGTCGTACAAGCATATGATCAGTCCGCCCAAGCATGACAGGCACACCCGGCCGTGTCAAAACCCCATTAAGTCCCGTCCTCGCCAGCGTCCACCGCTACTTCATTGCCGTATACATTGAAGCCCCTATGGTACCCAGCAATGCTTCTACCCAGCTGCAGCAAAACCAATGGCAATTTGGCCTAATCTCCGCCACACATATGCAAATTCCTCCCCGCTTCCTCCTTAAGAACAGCATTCCAAGGATTAAAGCACCCCATCAGCTAAGGTGGCGGAACGGCCCTGCATCCTATTCTATGGAGTAGTTTCTATGGTTAGGATGGTGTCGTACCTTGCATGCCAACCGCTGCATGCTCCACTCCCAGATCCACATTTACATTAAAACATGACCAACGATGCGCCCACGTAAACCCATATCCCAAAGCCCAACGTTCCGCAACTGCACCCAATAGGCGATGTAGGTCTCCACTTGCCCGTCCTTACCATCCGCCCATTAACACAAAACGTTGCCCCCGAGGGATTCGAACCCTCCGTGACCGCCACCTTCAAAGAAGGCAGCGAGCCACGTAGCCAAGCGGGGCATACAGAAGAGCCGCTCAATTGAAAGGACATCCACAACATTGGACCGTGCACATGCTGTGTATGTCATTGCCGCATATCGTCCCCCAACAGCAGCAACTCTTCTCCAGGACATCCTGCCAGCAGCTCGCCTAAAACCAACCACGCCTCCATCCTCACAGCTCAACATCAATACCCATGTCATACACTAAAGCTTGCAGAAACCTAGGCTACACATATGGCACAATGCGCCACGCGGCTCTCCGTGTAGCATGCGGTACACAGATGATGCGAGCCGTCACCAGCCATGCAACAAAAGCATACCGGCACGGGCAGACAGAGAGAGAAGCGAATTGCATGCAACGCAGCCTTACTTGCTCACCTTTATAACCTACCAGCCCGCGTACCACGTGAGCGTGCGGCAGTTTGCCACTTCAGGCCGTGCATCCAGGGAGGCGAAACGACGACGCCCAAGGTTAATGAGCCGCGGCCCCAAATACCAAGCAAGTAGACGGTAATGGCAACATTAAAGTAAGAAGCAAGTAGGTAAGTAAACTCCAGCAACAAACATTCAACCAGGAACGCCGTACATCGACCTGACGAGGGCTTAAGGCGCTCCAAAACCACATTTTTCCTGAGCGCCAATTACATTTATTGGAATGAAGCTGTATACCAAGTCAAAGCATCGCTTGTGATCATACCATACATATACTCTGTACATGTACGCGTGTAATGTTTTACTAATCCTGTGATAGGTTAACCGGCTGAGCTCCGCCGCGTCTTCCTGGGTATAGCTGCTTTACAAAAGCTGGGATGAATCCATCTATTCGTGGTTGCCTCCTTTTGAAATCGTTCTCTATGGTGTTCGTCCTGGCCGTGCTCATTCTGCTGTTCGAAGCAGAGGTCGCCTTAGCGCAGCAGACCTTTTACAACGGAACAAAATGTCTTTCCCGTTATCCTCAGCCGAAATGCCCTGTGCTTGGAGCTTGCAACGATGGCGCTCAGAAACCATGTGTCATGTGGGGTTCCGGTGCCTACAACTGGACAGCTGAGGAGCTTCACCACTATGACTACATGAACTTTTACCCTCCATCAGTCTATGATGACAGTGGCATGCACTTCGGGTTGGGGAGCGAGACGGCGTATTATCATCACGCTCCGCCGGGCAGCCGGATGTGTCACAACACCGATGTCCCAGGATTCTGGTGGTCCGGGCAGTGGCACAAAGCTAACGTTACCAACGGCACCCAGGGCGACGAGGACTGCGTCTTTCGACGACTCTCACGGCGGGAAATCGTCAAGTGTCTAGATGGAAAGAAGGTAGGACACAGCTCGCTTACTGCCGTACATGCAGGCTTTCCTTAACTGACGGCTGACAACGATACGTTCGGCGTGCTTTCCTGCATTCCTTCCACAGGTCCTGTTCGCGGGAGATAGGTAAGCTTCTGCTGCTGTGCTTCATTCCCACCTTCGTATCGTACCCACACGACCCAGTTGCCAAATCCCCTCCATCTGTCGTACAATGTCTTATCCTCTACCCTGTCGTACATGCAGCGTCGTTCGACAGCTCTTTAACCGTCTCTACTGGTACCTTCGAGGGTACGAAAGCGTGGTCGAGCACTACTACCATGACAGCTCCGCCTTTACCTACTTCCACAACGCAACCGACGACTTCTCTATCGGTGGCGCCACGCTCGATGCCTTCGCTCAGCCCTTGGCGCCGACAGAGGCCTTCAAAGTTGGCTTTGCATGGGCTATGGACCCCTCTGTTAGCCTGGTGGTGAAGGCTTCGCCGGACGTGTTTGTCCTCGGCGGCCTGTGGGGCCCAGCCAGGGGTGACGACTTTGGCTCCTTGACACGCAGGACCGTGGAGCAGATCTTGCTTCATGGTAACATGACAGGCAAGCCATCGCGCTTCTTTTGGCAGTTGCCACCCAAGCGACAGGTCCACGTTGCAACGGAGGAGTATGCTCAGCGCGTCCGAGCCATGATGTCAAAGTTTTCAAACAGCAGCAGTGCTGGTAATCAAGATCTGCTGAGGGTCAGAGCGGACGTGCTTCCCGTCGACCGGATGACCGAGGATGAGCCGTACGGGCGAAACGAGCTGGAGTTGAAGAACACGAATAACTGGGGCGTGCATTACCAGTGCATGTACTTTCCTTTGTACCCAACGAAGGATGGCTCTATTAGGGGTTTCAAGACGCCACGGAGCCTTGATTGCCGTGACATGATGAATTTCAACATTCTCATGGTCATGATGAATTCCCTATGCTCGGAGTGACGTGCGTTCAGGGCATGGGGTGACATGAGGTTGGGTTCGAGCAGGTGTCATTGGCGCGCAACACGAGTTTCGGGAATGGACTGCGGCGACCATCGTATGTGAAGAATTGCGATTCATGCTACGCATTCGCAATCACTTGAGGTTTAGTGGTGTGTGCGCGAAAGCGTGAGCATACTCAGGGCTGCAAGCCTTTAACTGTACAGAGGCGCGGAACCGCTGCAACATGCAACGTTCCAAGCGATATCGGCGAGGTGCATGTGGCGTGGTCTGTATGCTCATGTGATGAGCATACTGTTTGTATGGCAATTCGTACATGCCTTGCGAGCTCGTGTTTCGTGGGCGTGCACTTGGCGTCATACGGTACGTGCCCAGGAGCGTAGCTGTGCTGACGTTTTAATTTTGTTATGAACTTGTGATGTAAAGGTGCTAGGGTGTAAAGGTGCCAGGGTTGTGAGGGTTTCTTCGCGTGCAAGTGTTGGAGGTGGACTTCAAGGTTTATGTAGTGTCGCCCGTTACGTGGGCCGCGGCCCTCGCCAACGCCCATCTGGGTCACTCCGGTTTGCTGCGGATCAGCAGCCAGCTAACGGGAGCTAACGGCTGTGTGGTCTGGGCAGGAGGGGAGGACAACACTTGTACTATGAAGTGGACCACGTCGTACAGGTTTAGAGATACGGTACATTGCAGCGCCTGCTGGATACCTTAGGCTTCTCTGGTATGCACCGGGTACTGCGATGACCGGTAACCCTTTAGAAGCTGCATGGGAAGTATCCCACCTGGTGCCTACGTTTCTTGCGGCTTCCACAGCACTCCCTGATGACAAGTACTTAGTTTACAGAGGGTTGAGGTGGATAGGCCCCCAAACGTGTCGGACTCTGGTCTTGGTAATCCGTATAAGCCGTGCGTGTCCCTCCTTACCTGCTATTGCGCTACGCCTGGCGGCCCATGTCCTGCTGCGTCTCCCTGCGTCCCTGGCTGCACATCACCGCCTCCTCGCCCCTCAAGCAGAACGCTCTGGCAAGCCTGTTTAGGGCAAGGGCCGGAGCGTTAAATGGTGTTACCCTGACCTCCCGAGATGTTTAGGGTGTTAGCCACGAAAGCGGTGTATTGGATGTAGTTCCGTGCTGAACTGCTGACCCATATCCATGAACGCATAAAGGTAATTGCGGTTGCATGCGTCATGTGTCTGGAGATAACTTGGATCTGTGTCCTCTCAGGGAAGCCAAATGTTCTTGGAGTGGGAGGTGGTGGGAGCAGTACCCGGCGACAGATGCTACGCCTGCTCTGGACCTAAGTTGCATCCTGAAGTCTTTGCCGCGAGATAGCGGTTTGGGCTTCTACTTCAAGCGAACAAACAGCGATAAACTCAGCATCTGACTTCGTGCGTAGCATCGGCAGGAAATACAAGACATCCAGACATGGTTTCGGATTACAGGACAGAAGGCGATCCGCCGTACAGTCCGCGCGCCAGGATTGCACGAGAGCCCTGCTAGGTAACATGGCTGCCCAAATGCTGAGAAAGCTATATCATATCGTGTAGAATTCACTTGCCAAAGGTGAAAGCGACACAGTTAGTTTCAACACAACGTCCCCGACAGCTGGTTAACAAGGATGCGCCGAAAAGTCTGGGAAAACATGCTTCCTTGCTTGCTAGCCTTCATGATCATCGCAGCTACCTTCGCTGAGGATGTTGCCGTCTTTGCACCGCAGCCTGCTGAAGTTGCCAACCTGCTTGCAACGTTGGTAAGCGCTTGTCGTCGCGCGATGGCGCCACAAGCTGCTCTTTAGTTGAATCCTCGGAGGCTTTGACGTGCAGGAAAGGGTTGCTGTGAACAACGAGGTCTTAACTACCATCGTTTCGGGCGGTGTGGACAAGGAACTCCTCCGACTATTTTACGAGTCCGTAGTCAAGGCAAACATCACGAACTATGTCCCTATCTGCTTAGATGAACACGTAAGTATGGCGGTATGTATTATGGGCAGGGTTTGCCGCTTGCGCACCTAGGTAGACTCCGAGCGAATGGAGATGCCTTGGGGAGTCGCTTACTTGCCGGGATAGGTCTGCCACCAAAGGAATTAGGTGATATAGGTGCGGAGTGCTGTGACCATCCCTGTTGGCATCTGGGTTTTGTGATATTGGATTGGTACGCTTTCGCTCCCGACAGGTTGAAGCTAGCCTCCGGGAAATCCAGCTTCCACCCTGCGTCCGTTTATCACCCTTCATGCCGGTCAAAGCAACGCCCTTTGGCTCCGCAGTTCGGTTCCAGGTGTTAAACGTGGGTACGTGTTTCACATGAACGGGCATGTATCCTTACTATCTTTTAGTGACATGCGGACACTGTCCGCATGTCATGCTCATTCCCTTTGCCCTGCCCATGCCACGCTTGCGCAGACCACGCATGCCACGCACACCACGGGTGCTTGTGAACGTGCGTGTAAAGAAGGTGTATGCCGCGCAGGAAATCCTGAAGCTGAACTTTTCCGTCCTGATGGTGGACTACGACATGGTCTTCCTTCAGAACCCATTTACAGCGCTAGCACGGGATGCGGACATCGAAACCATGACTGACGGGGTTAACCACGAGTCAGCAATTGGTAAGGAGGCAGCCCATTTGACAAGACGTGTTAGGATTCGCGACGGGCGATGCTAGGTGCCGTAGCATATGAGTTTTCGATGTCTTAAGGATGGAGTAAGGAATGAAGGGTTGGTGGTAGCATCTGGCATGTGTTAACCCTGTTCGTGATTTGGGTTGCTGCCTCCTTGCAGGTGCGCACCGGCAGGTGGATGTGTTCAACGAGCACCATGAGATGTGGAGCCGGCCACTGCATTTGCAGCTCATGGACCTCAACTGTGGCTGCACCTTCGTACGCCCCACGCTTGCAAGCCTAGCGTTCATGACCCGGTAAATAACACGGGGAGTAGGGGCTTAACCTGTTTTAGCTCTGCCTTCGTGCCAGGGTTTGCCATCGCCCCGGGATGCATGCATGCATATCGTAAACAGCAGCAACAGCAACCGCTGATGGGTCCGCATGCTTACTTGCCTTTCCAGATTCCTAGCCCGGGCAGCAACGGTGGTGGCTTGGGACCAAGAGCTCTTTACGGAGCTGCTGCTGCAACCGGCCTACCGCGAGCGCACTCCCGTAAGGATGGCGGTTCGTGTCATGGACATCGAGAAGTTTGCTAATTCGCATGTGTTCATGAGCATGCTCAACCTACGGCTGGAGCATGTACCGGTGCTGGTCCATGCGAACTACCACAAGCCGCACGTTAAGCTTTGGTTGCTACAGAGAGTTGTCGCCAGGTACGGAGGACATGGAAGGCTGTAGTACGTTTTGCCGTATTCTGCCGTTTGCTACCCTGTTTCTGCGTCGAATATCGTTTCTTGCAAGGTGTTGCCGTACGTGCGATATCGTACCTAACCTATTGTAACTGCTATTCCAGGTACACGGACCCAAACAAGCCCATCGTCACCAGCTTTCCCAAGCTACTACATCGCATGTTCCGGCTCTTTCACTAATGCCAACAGTACTCCAAAGCGTGCGCGATCACCGATAGGGTGGGTGTACATACCGTATTTGTGGAGACCTCTGTGCTAGCGGAGGGAGACCCCATGAATTATAGTCCTGGTACAGTTGTTCATGTGAACTGATACATAACAGTAGGCTAGGGTATATTGCAGCGTGTTTGCGGCGCACGTAGCTGTCGTTTATGTGCTCCCGGTCCTGTGAGCAATAACTACGCGGCCTGGCTTTGCTTTGCTGGAAACATGTGATTGAGCATGCACTTTGTACACCTGCGGGCAGCAGCATTATACGATAGCTTGCAGGTGGATATCCCTGCAGGTGGATGGTGTTCTTGCACAGCGGTTGGGGGTGGTGTGGTGTCTTGGATTTGGGGACAGCGCTCTTCCATGTATCTCTAGGTTTGTATCGTCCACGTAGTGCTCAAGACTCTGAGCCAAGCCTATGCGGCATTTGTTACGAGGCGCCGTGTGCCTTGGGTTAGGCTTCACGCCTACTTGATTAAGTCGTTCAGCTAAAGATGTTGCCGCTCTTTACTGTCTCTAGACCCACTAGCTCGTAAACATCAGCTGTAGGCGTACGCACTTTCAGCGTGCGTGGTTAATGAACTTACAAAATAAGCAATGCATTCTTAGAGCCTATCATGATGCCGCACTCCCGTTCCATTAACACCCTCCTCACCTACTGGGAATGCGGCTGTGCTTGGCAGTCCACTTTTAGGCAGCCAGCCCCACCACTCCACTGATTTCCGTAGCAGCTCCGCCACCATGCGTGTCCGGCTTGCGCCCTTGTCAGGTCAAGGCAGCGAATGAGGGTTGAGCGGCGTTCAGCTGTCCTCTCTCAATAGCTTCAGCTCCAGTAAGCTAGAGCAATGCGAGTAATCCCAAAATGCGGCCATACGGCTCGCAGTTCTTGAATGACTCTCGTATCAGGCCTGACCAAGGCTACTGGCGGGGAGAGCTGGTGGCACGAGAAGCTACCAGGCTCGGCCGATGTCGCTGAAGAGGGGCATCACGTTATCCGCCGGCTACACGGGGTGAGAGGTGGTGGAAGCTGGCATAGGGGTATGTGGGTGGTTGGCGCAGCACCCCCCTGTCTCGCTGAGCATTACCAATGATGCCACACGCCTTTCTCAAAGGGCCGCCTCTGCTTCCAATGCATCAAACATAGCAAACACGGCGATGCAGGTTGGCAAACTCCACGCAGGTTGGCAAAGACATACCCCAGGCCTAGTTGATTTCGCTCTCTTTGGAGGGATCCTAAGGGCTGTTAAAACGCACAACTGAACACATAACTCGTTTACAACTGAAGCAAAAATAGCCGCTGGGGGCTATGCTTACCTACGCTCTACCGGGTGGGCCGGGATGCCCAAAGCGTTCAAACAAACAACCAAGTAACAAGCAGAATAGTGGCATGCAATGATACTGGGCTTTGTGGCTGTCAGCTATACGGTCCGCAACAGAGAACGCGGAGTTCGCAATAAACATGAAAGTGGCCATCAGTTCTGAGCTTCGAACCCCTCAGTCCACAAGAAACCTACTTGGTAGTTCTCTATGAGCATGTATGGCGCATGGCGGTAAGTCAGCGTGACTCGAACAGGTTCCTGGTTCCAGTCGTTCCACTGAGTGACCCTGGAGCCAACCTCAACAGGCCCAGCCAACAAGCATCACTCAGAGCTTTGTAGATTACTATTGTGTTACGTGAAATTGATCCAACTTGGCGTCCAGAACCAGCAAGATAACCCTTGGCACTGACGACAGGATCGGAGGGAATTCGCTCTTCCTACAGTTTAAGAGTATAATCCATTAGGGGCCATTCACATTGAGGCTGAAATAGGTGAGGCTGTAACCGAAAGTGAATACAATATTCAATTCCGCCTCATTCACATTGAGGCCAATATGCTGGGTTGCTGGCGGCAATTTAGTATTCGCCTCACGATTTATACTTTCAAGGTAGAGAATCGAAGCTGAAACTGAAATACTTGCAATAGAGTAAAATATCCACCCAGACGGCTCGCAAAGTAGTTCACAGACCCAAACCAATTCGCAACGCTATAGATCCCCGATAAATACACGACCACATGCACCTATTTATTTGACAATCCTACAATCTTTTCGCGGTTCGCGGCGCCCTCATGAGCAGCCTTTTTGACTATGACGATTACCTAAACTAAGGCGACCTGAGCCCCAGCTTAGGTATGCGGTTGGCAGTAATGAAAGCTACCAGCCTAGCGAAGATGGGGACCATGACAGGAGCTAGGCACTTTGCCGTTGGTGACGGACACTGCTGAGCGAACTAAGTTTGCTTCCGCAGCTGCTCAAGCAACACCACTTACAATCCTACTATCTTAGACTCAGGCTTGCGCTCGCAACCCGTCAACTTTATGGCAGGTCGGTAAAAGCCTCACTTTCTTTGCAAAGTTCCCAAAGTGAACGAAATCTGAGGCCGAAACGGGTTTGCGCCTCATGCGGCTTCACTGAATATAATACTCAAAATCCTAATGTGAATAGCCCGTATAATGTATACATGGCCCATATCAATTTTGCTTTGCTGTCCAAGCCCTCAATAAACCGTCGCGCCGCATGCGTGGCACGTCCGGTTTTACGACCCAGCCCCATCCTACTCATCAGAGGCATTCGTATTCAAGTCCTTCACTTCATGCGAGAATGTTTTGTCAGCAGCCATGCAGTTGGTGCCTGAAACTCAGAAACGTAAACTTAATCCGTGCCCAGTACACGCTGTTGTCTCCGTCCGTGCTGGAGTGTTCAGCAGCACTTGCCATATGTTTGCGGCACATAACGCCTGCATGCACTCTGTTGCGGCAGACGTATACAAGCAGTGGCATGGTACCTCAACCCCAGCGTCCAACAGCTTGCAAGGCGAGGGTATGGAGCCAACAGAGACAGGGCTCCAGCCAAACAGCAGCTGAAAGCAGGCCTGTGGAGGAGGTGGTTAGAGAGGTTGCCTCTCGCCTGTCAATTGATTCGCTCAAGGCTACCATCCACAGAGCATTCACAGCAGGCCGGAGGCCCCCCACGGAACGTATGTCAGCCAGCAGGGTATTACAGATGTAAATATGCACGAGGAGCTTGTTCCAGCTGACGCGGTACGCACGCAAGGTGTAAGTAACGAACGACGTACCCATGCTAAACGCGTGTATAGAAGGAACGCTGCAATTGGTGTCAAGCGGAGGCGTCAAGGGGATTCTAGTGATAGGCAGGACGGGACTGACGGTGGTGTTGGGTATCTAAATACCTGCAGACGCGTTAGTCCTAGTACCGGCAAGGAAGGAGAAGGGAAAGGGAGGATCGTTGCCTATGGACATACGTGGCAAGCAGAAGAGGCCAGCACATATTGCTAGTGTGCCCAGATGCACAGATGTGAGACAGCAAGTATACAGGGCATCGCAAAGCCCTTAACAGCTTGATACTATCTATTACCTTCAGGACAACGTGGCACGAAACATACCTTGGGCGACTCAGGTCCTGTGGCTGCTGCTGCCGAAGAGCCGTCGCATCCACTGCTGCCATCGCCCTTCATATTCGCACTACCAACAAGACTTTACCGCCTGTGGCACAAGCAATAAATAGCGTTATCGTATTAGGACTAAAGAAGATAAACATATTAAGCTTGCTAGCAATTTTCTGTAGGATGACACAGCATTGCACAGAAGTCCATTACGCTTACATATAAATGAATATTGGAATTCCCAGAGTAAAAGGGTGATACCAATAACTTATTTGAGTTAAAAGATAGAGAATGGAAGCGCAGCACGCGCCCTGGAGGCCCTGTACGACCTCAGACTCCCGACGGGGGTAGGGGCGCTGTACCGGTTTGACTTAGCGATGGCGTACGACGAAAGATGAAGAAGGGGGACAGAGTGCGTAACCTGAGACGGCCCTCATGTGCAATATTAATCTAGCGGCCAAGATGGCGCTACCGTTACCGACAGCTCTTATCACGCTTCTAGCAGTTTTTCTTCTTACCTCACTGAACTCAGTTGATTCAAGACAGCCCTTTCGCCGTATACTCCTTGGCGCCTATGAAGACGAGAAGCCAGATCGCGCGCAGCTGTTGAAGGCCGCACAGGAACATTATGGATCGCTGGGTGTTGTAGGGCCATCCGACAGCTTTGTTGACGCAGTCAGAAAGGCTTCAACGACGCTTAAAGGCAGGAAAATTGTATTGCTTACCATGGCAGATGCGCGCTGCCTGGCACACGATGGGACCTTGTCATTACATCTGAGGGGTCTATCAAGCATTTCATTGCAAGAGCCATCGGTTACGTTAGCCTCGGTACTGACTGTGGTCGTTTGGGAGCAAGCCGCATACGACCAATGTGTTGTCCTGCAACGCCAATTCCAGCACAAGTGTGCGCTAGACTCTCACAAACAGCCCAACGAGCGTGAGCCCAACTACTTCTCGGCCACCTGGCTATCAATGGGCTTCGTTAGAGTTCGGAGCATCGTTAACGCCCTCTCCTTGGGCTTCGATACGATCTTCGTGGATTCGGACGTTATGGTGCTTAAGGACTTCCTTTCGCACATGCTTAGCTTCGGGGCAGACATCGTCACCTCCCCTGAGAGGTGCATCGTGCGTAACTACTCCAGGCCGTACGACTTCAGCGAGCTAGGGTCCTGGACGACCAACGTCGGCTTAATTTACTTCAAGGCCGTGCCCGGCAACGTTCGGTGTTGCAGCACATGGATGGCCAAGATGTTTCACGAGGTCGTCATGTCGGGGAAGACTTGGGACCAAGTCGCCTTCAACGCCGTCTACAAGGAGTGCTCCCTCAAGTACGGACTGTCATGGCACGGATTGGATCCCCGTGCTTTTCAACTGAGCTGCGACATAGCTGGTTTCAAGGAGTGTGGATGTACTTTCGAGGAGTCCGACGTCCATCACGAACCTGTACCTGCCGAACAGGAGCGGTTAAGTCCTCGCTTTCTTCCCTTCAGCTCCCCTGGCGTGTGCGGGCCGGCGGACTGGAGTGGTTGGTATACGAAGCACTTTAACTGCCTTGTCGGAGTTGATCCCCAAAAGGGCAAGGGAGAGTACATGAAGAATCTGCTAGATGCCGTACAGAACAGCACGACAGGCCACATTTGGCCTGCCTAGTTAGGATGTAAGCTGATGTAAGGGTGCATTGTTAGTAAGCCAACTGAGCTACATGCGTTGCATTTACGACATGACTGTGCATTTGGTGCAAGCATGTACAATGAGCATGGCGCGTGCGGACCGTGGAATAAGCCGGATTTTGCTGGTGCAAGAGTAGCTCGTCGTGTGGTAGCTTAGTGGTAGCAGGGTAGCGAGTAGCCGGGTTGCGAGGGCTGCATTGAGGCGGTTCAACCTTGCTTACGTCTGCCATGCACTCATAAACCTTGTTCTCTCCAACGGACTGAACGATGCCATGTCGGGCAACGCGTGGGAGAAGGGGCATCTAGGTTGGTCAGCTATGGTCAACTGTGTTTCGCTCAAGGTCCCCCTTTTGGGTTACCCTACCGAAAGGAGTGTTGTTGCTGTGTCATTAACCCAGTATGCCACCAATTCGTACATAAAGCTTGATGTGGTGTAACGCAGGAGCCAACGGGTGATGTGCCCAAAAGCGCAGTGTCCCAATTGCGTATCACAGCTGCAACGTAAAGGCGACCTTCTGGCAACACCATAAGGAGCATGGTTGGGCGCAAGATATCGCTGGTTATGTTGACGGCCAAACTTGCAGGGTCCTTAGCATGTGCGAACCAATAGGCGATACCTGTCCGCATTCCTACCATGCTGCAGTCGCTCGCACTAGGGCCACCGCTGTCCTCAAGTTCAAACGGCAGATACCTAAAACAACAAACAAGAACAACAGGTCCGGTTCACATCATCTCGAGGAAAGCTGAAGGGCAACTGGGGGCCCCCGCAAGGCGGTGCTGCTAAAGGCGGTACATGAGCGCCCTCAAGCCCCCGCATGCATCCGATACCGGTATGGCCTCATGGGCAATCGTACTCGCTTCTTAACATCCGGCATTTCTCCTAATGAAACATCTTCAGAACAATCCAAGCATCTTACGTTCTTTCCTCAAACTCTGCACAACAGCCCCTCCGAACCAATGCGGGTTACGCCATCCACGTAACCGCACACCTCCAAGTAACCGCACACCTCCAAGTCACTTGCGCTGACTGACACCAAAAGAATGCATGTGCGCAAGGCCGTAAGCAAACCCCATAGTTGCTGCGTCTCCAGCTTACTTACCATATTTGCCCACCCCTGCATGCAGAGCTCAGTAGCCGGGCCGCGAGCTGCCGCGCTTGTAGCGGTTGATGATGCCCATGATGTAGGCGGGGATGTTCTTGACGCCCACCAGCTCGTGCCGCCCCACCTCCGCCAGCACCTCCATCGCCTCGTGCTCCGGCAGCTTCTGCAGCTGCGACACCACCACCTCGTCGAAGTGGCTGTCGCGCAGCACGTGCGACTGCTGCGCCAGCAGGTCCTGCGGAGCAGCGGCAGGAGGAGCAGCAGGAGCGGCAACATGAGGAACATGAGGCAACATGCGGCAACAGGGGCAATGCGTTGAAGAAGAGGTGGCGGTGAAGCGATGAGGAGGGCGGAGGCACAGCAAGGCAAGGCTTGGCAAGGAGCGGACTGGATGATGGGATTCACACATTCGTTGTGTGATGTGGAGGAGCAGCACGAAATGCTAATGCCGTGGTCGTTACTTTGCTCAAACGGGTAGGCCGGTTTGCCAATTTCCAAGACAGCTGACCTAGTCCCTAGAGTCGACTCCAGCCCTCGTGCCCATTGCTGACCACTTCGCACGAATACCGCTACACTGCGCAAGCCAACGTCAGGAAACCAAGCCAGCAACCGCACCTGCGCGCGCTGCGCTAGGATGCCACGAAGCCTGTTAAGCGCGGGAACGCCCTTCTGCACGCTGGGGCCGGCAGGAACGCCCCCATAGCCGCCAGAGCTGTAGCCTCCGGGCTCGCCTCCGTAGCTGCCGCTGCCGCCCCCGCTACCACCATAGCTGCCGCCCCCGCTGCCGCTGCCGCCGTAGCCACCTCCGGGCGACGGAGCCAAACCCGCCATGAACTTCTTCGCTACAGACTGCAGGCAGGAAGAGAACACAGGTCAGCAGGAGTTGACCCAATGTCAGGGCGCCAAGCCAGTTTGTTCAGCCTAATGTCAAGGCAAGGGCCAGCTTCTTACTGTGCTTAAGTACCGCTGGGTTCGGTCGTCGGTCGGACGCTGAGAAGCGAGTTTGCAAAACAACCGACCGGCGATTCGCCCAACCTTCAACCAGTTTCGTCACACCGCAACTTACGATGAGGAATGCGTTGCAGTTGCGGATCTGCTGACTGTTCATGGCCTCAACCACCTCGTTAACGACCTGCGGAGAAGAGGAGCATTGAAGGAAAACCAAGAGTTGAATGATGAGGAAGAGGAAGGAGGGAGCAGACACGGTGCTAATGACATTCCAGGCCGCACAAACAGCAAGGGCATGGCCAGTCCCGCATGTCTCCATCCGGCGGCCTGTGTTAGCACGACCAACCTCTGGGCCAGTGCGCGCCGGCCCACGTGCCCCCTGCCCTCCCTCCTACACCCCCATCCCAGCCTCCACCTGTTGGGAATACTAGCCAATACTCCGTATTGTGGCACCCTGCCGCCTCCTATCCCCATTGCTTTGCCCTAACCCGTGGTTTCCTATGGTTCGGTATGGTCTTTGACCCCCACCTGCAGCCCATGCGGCGCCTCCAGCTCCGACAGCGCCTTCCACGACCCGTCGTCCAGCAGCGACACCAGCCGGTTGCCGCTGTCCCAGGCGCGCTGCAGCGCCAGGGCCACACTGGCCGGCACGTAGGGCGCGTGCTGGCTCAGGTTGTGCAGCTCGTCCACACGCACGCCCATGGCCGCCTGGTCCGAGCCGTAGTGGCGACGAGGCGGAGGCGCTGCGGCTGCGATGATGAGGGGTGAGGGGCGAATGGGGTGGAAGGGGCGAAGGGATGGCGGTGATGAGGGGCGATGTGCGGAGTGAGGCAAGCGGTGGGCAGGTGCAACGTGACGGGGAAGAGAGAGCGCGTAGGTGCGCTGTAGAGGGGTCGTGGAAGGCTCGTGGGTATGTACCGTCGATGTTGCTAGGTGTGAGAAGCAATTGTAGTCAACCCGGAGCCACCGCCATTGCCAGTTAGTGCCTTGGCACAAACGGTCTTCTTGGTTGCTGGTTGCAGCTGAGCGTGTATGTGATCCATTTGAGCAGGACCTCTGGCCCCCCCTGTGTCACTATTACGGCAGACGGTATGGCGGCCGGCAATGTAGAGCCGCCATGACTACCCCGAGTACGGCCCTCCAAAAAAACAAGTTGCAACGGGCGACGGGCAAGGGCCCTAACTCCTAACCTGCCATCGGCGGCGGCGCGTGCACCATGGGCGGAGGGTACGACGCTTGCGATCCGTACTGCTGGGGTGGCGGCGAATACGGAGGCGGCGAGTACGGCGGCGGGGGCATTCCGTACGACGGAGGGGGCATTCCGTGCGGCGGCGGCGGGTGGTGGTGGTGGTGGTGGGGCGGTGGCGGCAGCGGATCGCGGTAGCCGTGGGGTGGCGGCGGAGGCATGCCGTACGAGCGTTCGCGCGCAATCTGCAGCGGCAACCGCGAGACGGGGAAACGGGAACGGGGATCGCCGCGACGGAACGGCGGAGGCGGTTGACGACGGGGTGACGGCGGGTGTACGACGCAAACGTACGGAATCCAGTGCCTACCGGCATTCCTCACAAACGACTTTCTCCAAGCTTAATCCCTACCCAAACCCACCCTGGTGCATCTCTGTTGCACAAGCCACCACATATCCCTCCAAACAGCCTACCGTTGTAATACCATAACGACGCAACCGCTCTAATGCCCCCCATGCCGCCCTCACGACGCACACCAGCGCGCGCCCTACCTGCTCCTTGGTGACCTTGATTGTGGACATGAACAGCGCACTCAGGTTGCGCGCGTCCTGCAGGTCCTTGGTCTCGAAGTTGTCCACCACGCGCATCGCCAGACCCGGCTCCAGATCGTTGATGGCCTCCAGAACCTTGGAGTCAAGGATCTGATAAGGCGAGGAGCGAGGTAGGGGAGGAAACAGGATAAGAAGGGGAAAAAGGGGGAAAGGAGAAACATGTATTTTCTGCGGCGGGGTTACGTATACACACGTTCGGTGTAGCAATGCTTGACATGCAAGCATTGGGGACTGGGGGCCAGGTAACGGAGGCTAGGCTACGCAACATCCATTAACGCGGTGGACCCGTGGGACGCAAACGCGACCCAGCATGTCAGTGATGCCGTACGCCCCGACGGTCCCGCATGCAACTGTAAGCATGCAGCTTAACCCTACATGCTGATACAAGCCAGTACGAAAGGGTTAAGCGGTCACCCAAATGGGCCACCGCCGTGACATGCCACCTCCATGCTGCTCTTACCGTGTCCCGCATTTTGCCGCTTCGGTAAAGCTGCTCAAGGCGCTGCTGTACGTCCTTTGACAGCTTAGGCCCATGTCCGAAATGCTTATGGCGGGTGGCCACACCGGCCAAGTACGCACTCTTGTTTTTCACATTCCCACCCAGGAGAGACCGCTCGAACTGATCGACGACATTAATGGCATCATCCAATCTTAGCTCTTTCAACAGGCCAATGGCCCTTTCATCAACATCGTCGGCCCTGATCTGCGCGAAGAGCAGGTAGCCTGAGGAGCGTGCCAGCTACGATTTTAACCATGAAGCAGGTGCCAACCGTACCAGTCCGGTTTGGATCAGTCTCTGTAAACGGTCGCGTAGCCTGGGATCACAGGACTCGAAGCGGTCTGTACCGAGGAACGCATGAGCTTCAGGGATCCAGCATGGAAAAGGGCATTCAGAAGGACATCCGCCCGTCGCAAGCTGTGAATGCCCGTGCTGGTGTTACTTTTAGATGTTTAAGACCTACCCGGCAAGCGCGCCGACTTGTATTCGGGACCACCATCACCGTTAAACCCCGCCGCATCAGCACTTCGTTTTAAAGAATCCATACTTTACACATGTGTATGCTATGTTATCGTAAGGACAAGTTGTATGACGCAACTTCGTTTGTGCCATGGGCTGGCGTGCACTGCCGGACAGGCCGTATACCGTATTACCGTCAACAAGCCTCGAAGACATGTCTATCCTTGTACTTAGGTTACACTAGCTCTACCGAAGGACGCTGCTTTCTTAGTTCTTACTTAAACGTGGCCGACAATGGCCGGCAGCAACGACCTCGCGAAAAAGTTGGAGAAGGCGGTTGATGTGGCGGTGACCTATGGCAAGGTACGTCTGAGAAATGGAGAAGGAGAGACTAGCAACTCCTAACAAAGGACATCGTCAGCCTTCATCTGTTTGGCGTGCGCCCCTCTTGAAGTTTGCTTCCTCTTAGTGTCTTGGTTCAAGTGGCTGTGAGAATAGGCGTATGCGTTTTGCCTAGGTTCTGTCGGGTCCGCCACCGATCCTCCGCAACCTTTACCTCCCATCCCTTCGCAGCCGATTGTCCACTGGGGCTTCATTCCCTGCATCATCCTGGTTGGAATGTTGACAACAAAGCCGCGGCCTACTCTCGGCCAGCTGTTCTGGCTGGGCTAAGCTAGAAGAATGGGAGGACATCACCATCGACCTTATCGCTGCGTCGACAGATAGTGACGGTTTTCACCAATGCCGTTGGTGGGCTTGAGGTGGTGCATGCCTCCTGTAAGCGATGCCAGTCAGGGGTGATGAGTAACCAAGCGTGTGCTCTCAGGTTTGTGGCGGGAGGGTAGGTTCCTACGACGTTACCAAGGGGATTCAACCCTTAACAAGGATATCTACCGTAACGACGGAGAATGTGGGAAGCCGCTGCAATGTGCAGCTCAGTTGGAAGTTTGATGAGCATGTCTATACCAAGAAGTTGCTGAACTACAGTGAAAGAATCGGTTGGGGTGGTGTGCCTCATGGAGTAACCGACACATTCCTTCCTGAGGTGGTTCATAGGGCATACGGCTCACCAGGCGACACTGCGGGGCTCTGGGGCGTAGCACCCGCTTCCGTGAAATGTTCATGATGGGTTGCTTCCTGAAGGGCTTTAAGAGCCGAGGACAGCGGGCAGGAGTTTATAGGAGGTCACATAGATGGCCAGGGGCGTTTGCTGTGTGTGCTATTGAGAGATGGCGAGCAGGTCCGCTGCAATGGTCATGTGTAAGTCCGTATTGCGGTGGACGGTACGGGAACATTTCGGTTATGCGTCTATCTGAGGCTAATATTTTGTTGGTACCGTTTGGAAATGTCTGTAATGGCTGTGTAACACGGTGCTAATGAGCTTTCAGTGCGTGTGCTGTCCTGGGCTTGTGACTCTTGTCTGCATCTGTCCACTGCGCCCGGACTGGGTGGACCACGCCATATCCGGAACCCGGGGCAGAAGGGGTCACGCCAATCGTCCGCCCTGAGGTTACGCACTTGTATCTGCACAATGGGGCTTGTTCGCAATAGGCAATGGGCTTGTTTGCAACAAGCATAGACATAGTACGAACGTGCAGCATGGATTGGTTCCATTGTTACGACCCATGGGTCGTAGCCCTTGTGCTACAGCATAAACAGCCAGGACACCATAGCCGAAACCTTGCAACTACGTGTACGTATATCATGACATACACGTAATGATGCTTTTGAACGTCATAAACGGTTGCAGGACCTCCCCTACTTCAGTTTAATACAAGTAAAACGTCCATGTACGCCCATGCAGACCGGGTACTGGATGGTTGTAGCGACCGGCGGCCAGCGGACAACGGGGTAACCAAACAGTAAAAACCGACGGCCAGAAACGGTCAACAACTGCAGCATCTAGTCCGCACGCTGCCTACGGCTCCCTCAGCGCAATAATGGAAAGGGCCCTCCTGCTTGTCCTACCGTATTTAGCTCAGCGCTGCGATATTCTCTGCCAACCTCACCCTTGCCCCTGCCCTTTGCTCCTAACGGCCTTAACTGTAACGCATGAAAGCGCCGTGCACGGCCTGCACGCCACTCCCATGTCGCCGCCGTGCACGCCACTCCCATGCCAACCCAGCACCACCAGGTCCACCGCACAACACCAATGTGTTGACATCTGCATCAACCCCCTTCCCGCCAGCGAAGCCGGTGTTGCAGGCTGGGCACACTTAAGCCGTAATCTTTACCACAGCCCAATTAAAGCACCAATTTTTCCATCTTCACCCCCTTGCCCGCCACCACCTCCCTCCGCTCCCCCATAAACCTCCTCCTCGCCCGCCACTCCCACACCGCTGACACCGCTGCCGCACACACCCTCACGCCAACCGCCGCCGCCAGCACCTGCCGCCAGCCCCAATCTGAATACACTGCCTTCAGCGCCAGTACATCCTCCGTTCCGTACAGTACGACAGCCACCGGATTTAGCCCCATGCAACGCAGGTTGAGGGGCTGCAGGGAGGGCAGCACGAATGCGCGCCACAGCAGCACTATTGAGGTGGCGCGGCCGCTGTTCTGAAGGTTGTCGTTGAAGGCTAGGAGGCCACACCGCATGCACGCATGTGCGCCCAGGAATACCAGCGGCGCCCAACTGGTGGCTACCTTCTCGTACGCACCGTAGGCGCGAGCAGAGCAAGTGGAGGTAAGGTGGCTCGGCGTAGGAGGGCCTGAGCCTGGCAGTTGCGGCGGCTCTTGCATGTGTGTGCGCATGCCCTTGACATAGCCATCGCTGCCGCCACCGCCGCCGCTGCTGCTGCCGCTGTTGTTGCTGTTGCCGGCACCGGCATGCAAGCTGGCCGGGTCTCGCGCCTTGTCGACCGGCGGCCTAAGTAAACAAAATAGTAATGCGAAGAGCGAGGCAACATCACCCGCCCACGTTCCTGCGTGGAAGGCCGCATGCGCTGCCGTACGAACGTACTGCTCCCTCATCGTACGGAGGACCGAAGCAATGTACGGCTGCGCGGTTACGACAAGGATGTACGGCGCCGCCCTTGCGAGTTGCTGCGCCCTCCAGGCTCTGAACTGCAACTCCAGGGAGGGCGGCTGGAAGCCGCGCAGCAGCGTAAGGAGCTGGGGCAGGTGGGGGAAGGTGGAAGGGGCGGGGAAGGCGGAAGGAGGCGCATGGGGAAGGAGGCGGGAGCTGGGGGTAGCAGCGGCATCATTGTCGGCAGTAGCGATAGCGTTGTCAATCTGGGGTGCTGTGTCGCCGCAGGCTCCAGGGGCGTTTGTCGCGGCGGCAATGGCGGCGGAAACCACTGCGGCGGCGGCATCCAAGCCGTTGCTACGGAGGTACGGCAGCAACTCCGCCGCCACCACCTGAACCGGTGCTGCCGCCGCCGCCGCTGCCTCGAGCACGTACGCCATGTCGGTTAGCAGCGGTTGGAAGTTGGTGCGCCAGGCGGCGGTTAGCTCCGCCCCCCCGCCTGGTGCCGCCTCCCAGTCCGGGTCCCCGCCCTCGCAGCGGATGCGCTCCCACAAGCCGCTCAGCTCCGCCGCCGCATCCGCCGGCAGCAGCAGCAGCGGACACAGGCAGTGAAGCAGCGGCTGGGAGGGAGACAGTGTCGTAGCTGCGTCACTGCCGCCGGCCGCTCCTAGGTCGCCGTGCGCCGGAGCGACCAGCGCCAGTTGCAGGGTAGCTGGGGCGGGCGGGTGTCGTACAAGGGAAGTGCCCGCCGTCAGGTGCAGCTCCAGCTCCTGCAAGCCGCCGTTCAGCTGTACGGCAGCCTCATGCAGCAGCACGGGGGCGGTGCCGCTGCCACCGGCCCCCAGCACCAGCAGCCGCACCTGCTGCGGTCGGGGGCTGGCCACTGTGACCCGCAGCCCAGCGGGCGAGGAGGGCTGCGGAGGCAGCGCCAGCACAGGCGGCGACAACTCCACCAGCCGAAGGCTGCCACCAGAGTCCCCGCCGTCCCGCCAGCCCTGCACCGCCACCCCGCCCAGCTGCTCCGAGTCAGGCAGCAGCGGCAGAAGCCGGGAGGCACACAGACCGGAAACCCCGTCGGTACCGGTACCAGGTTCGGAAACGGATGCCAAACCTGAAACACTGCGCTCGATGTCGAAGCTCCACGCAATGAGCTGCACACAGCCACGCACCACCACAGCCCTGGTCAGCGAAGCCTCACCGACCCATGGGTCATCACCGTTGGCCGCATGTGCCGCCCGCATGACGTCCTCCGCCGCTGCTGCCAGGCGGCTGCCGTACTGCTGGAAGCTGCCGGGGTGCTGCAGCACCTTGACGGACACGCAGCGGGTGCGGGTCAGGCCGCGGTAGTGCAGCAGAGGGGAGGAGGAGGAGGAGGCGGGGACAGGAGCGCTGGAACGCCTGGGGCCGCGACTGAGGACAGGAACAGGAGCCGAAGGGGACTTTCCGGGTGCTTCAGACGGCCGCTGCGGAATGGTAGAGGGTGAGTCGGGCTGTGAGGATGTGGAGTTGCCGGAAATATCTGGAGCTTCCCTGCATGCAGTTACAGGCGCTTCTTCCGTTGCTGCTCCCGGTGTGCTTTCCATCTGGGTGGGCATCAAGGCAGGAGGCCGGAGAGGCGAGCAGGGAAGGAGAATGCTGTTTGTGAAACATGAGGCAGCAGGTCCCGGCAGGCGATGGCCCTTGTCGCTGCTGCTGCTACTGCCGCTGCCGCTGCTACCGCCAGCTCCCTGGCTTTCCTGCCGACGAAACGGCTCACCAGTGCCGTACAGCCGCCTGCACATGCGCGCGTAGTTGGCCCGAAGACGTAGCTCGGAGAGGTACGAGAGACCCACGGGCCACCCGACGTAGATGACAGCCATGAGGATTTGCCGACCTCTGGACAATTGGGACAGCAGCACCGGCTGCTGAGCATCCCCTTTAGGATGGATGCTTGCGCTACCGCTTAGATCTGTTTCAGCACCAGCTCCAATGTACGGCAGCTCTTCCCCCAGCAGTACGGGTGCCACGGTGTACGACAGCAGGAAGCAGATGGCGACGTGGAGGACGGCCATGAGGGCGGCCAGGGGGAAGCGAACCTGGGTGGTGGGGGTGCGGGGAAAGGAAGGGGTGAATTGGTGAGGCGGAATGCACAAATCT